CACACACACACACACACACACAGATGAATCACAGATAGAGCTGCTGATGAAAGATAGAGACGGATGTGTTCATCACTCACCATCATTAATGGAGACGCGTCATCTCGGACACAAACTCCTGCCAGCACACAACATAAAGCTGCTGTGAACAGAGACTCATCGTTTCTAACTCTGATTATTTCTTTGTAACTCTGATTATCACTATTAAAAGTTTAACAAAATTACATGTTTAGGGCCCTATGAATTGTTTTATTTTTTCTCACCTTATTGTTACCAAATTCTGTGTTTTAGCATGTCTAACTATTTGAATGCATAAAAACAACTTAATTTATTCACATTTATTCTTACAATAGCCTTATGATATGTGACCCTGGAGCACAAAACCAGTCATAAGGGTCCATTTTTTCGAAATTGAGATTTATGCATCATCTGAAAGCTGAATAAATAGCTTTCCATTGATGTATGGTTTGTTAGGATCTGACAATATTAGAAAATCTGGAATCTGAGGGTGCAAAAAAATCTAAATATTGAGAAAATCATCTTTAAAGTTGTTCAAATGAAGTTCTTAGCAATGCATATCACTAATCAAACATTAAGTTTTGATATATTTACGGTAGGACATTTACAAAATATCTTCATGGAACATGATCTTTACTTAATATCCTAATGATTTTTGGCATAAAAGAGAAATGTATAATTGTGACCCATACAATGTATTGTTGGCTATTGCTACAAATATCCCTGTGTTGTGTATTAAAATTTTTCTGTTTATCAAATGAAGGCAAAACTAAATGAAATTAAACTTTGTTTTTTGGCAGACAAAGGAGATTTACTATTAAAATTAAAACATGGAAGAAATATTGTGTGATTATCCCTAAAGAAAATAAAGTTTTAATAATTTTAGTAGCAGTAGTATTACGTATATTCTACTGAAGAATAGTAATATATATTTTTAGCACAATGTCTGAGTTAAACCAAACGGGTTGCCATTAAATTTCTGTGTGTATGTGATATGAAGATAGTTTTACTCGAAGGAAACGGTAAAATGCTTATAGATAGAGCAGTTCAGGAGATGTTGATGTGTTCATGTGTTATTTAGTGAGGCGGCAGACGCTGAAAACACGGCGAGCGTCTCCTGGAAGATGACACTGGGCTTTTCACACTTTCTCTAAAAGCAGATCGATATAATCTACTGATGTAACCATAAACTCTGAAGAAGTGTGTGGACAGAGACTCGACTCGTTCATGACTCTTCCCGTGGGCTCATGCATTCACGAGTGAAAGCTGGACTGGGAATATTCTGACGGGGCCTAAATATAAAGAGTTCTTTCTAACATTAGCTTATTGCAACGGCCCTCCAAATTGAACAATATAGTCCATATTCTCCTGTGAGCTTCGTGTGGTTTCGTCTGACATCGCTGGCTGAGCATGACTGATTTATTCAGCTCTAACAGCTGTGTCATGATCAAAACAGATATGAAGCGCTTGGTTTAGCATCTGTCGTGCGTGAATGATGCTCAGAGGTGCACAAGTCCACGCGGCTAATTTTAGTGTGAAGTTCTTTATGGTTTCCTGTCGCCTCCTGCTGTTTCCTGTTTGTCAGATCCACAGCTGAGGACCAGAGTCACGCTGATCTTACAACAACGAACACTCTGATTTAAGTGCATTCATTCACTTTATATGTCACAAGCAGACTGATTAAAAACCAATGCTCAAAAGTTTCCTTTTCTATATCAGCTGAAATATGTTTGATGTATCAGATCTCTCCACATGCATGTTTAAAAGTTCATTCTTTTGCATTAGTTTGTGTGCATGTGTTCAGTGATTATAACATGTGACCTGATGCGCGTTCACTCGTCTCTGATTGGACCAAATGTGCTGTTCACTAAACCTGAGCTCATTTATACTCCCTTCACATGATCATTAGTGAACCAACAGCCCTACAGATTTGATGCATTATTAAAGTAAACATTTTAATATTGAATCAATCATGAATGTGATGTATTCCCTTATATATCATCTCTCAAAAACATATTGATTAACATTACCTGTCACCTGTGGTAATGTGGTAACACGTTTTCTTGGTTATGTGAACACTAAAGTCAGGGGAATGTTACGTTTTGTTATTTTGCAAACATTTTGGGAGTGTTACTTTTGAATGCTCTCTAACCCATCGCAGACAAACGTCCAGCTAAAATGTTTCAGAAGAAAGTTCCATGAACGATGTGTAAATAATGCTTTTGTGCTAATGTTTAGATAACTTTACATGAGCGTTCTGTTAACGTTAGAACATTTGTTCAAATGATTGATATGAATTATTTCTAGCTAAGCAGCTTCAAACTGAGCCTGGTTTAGTTAGTGGTTTTGCTCTAAGGCCCAGCAGTGCTATTGCATTCTTATTTCTTACTGTGATCAATACATGTTAATCATCTAATCCTGTCAATCACAGTGTACTGTACTGATATATATTCATCTCCTCGAGTGTTTTAGCTTGAGAGCGTCGTCAGAGCTGGAGTCGAGCCCAATCTGGTCACATGCATCATTCTGGAGCTTTATATGTGAAATAAGTAAGTCCAGTACAGTGGATAATAACGGCTATAAATAATGCGATGAGAGTCG